GAAAGGCGGTTCCCCCATAGCTGAGCCAGAAGACGGATAAGAATTCCCATTCTGACATGCGGCGGTCGAACACTACCTTGATATTCTTTTCCTCTTTCCTTGAGGAAAAGCGAGAGGGTTTCCGTCTCTGTGAGAGCTCTCTGCTGGGAAGGACTCCTCTGAAACACGTTGTTTTCTTTTAGGATGTATTCAGAAGCCTTTACCGGACTAAAGGTCCCCTTTTATTTGCGTGGTAGGTTCCTCTCTGTCTCTGGTTTCACCAGGGATCTCCCCATTCCCGCCCCGAGGCTGCCACCGGCAGGGCTGGTGGGGAAGGAGAGAGAAGAGCATGGGCAGGGGAGGTGAGTGGCAGCTTGCCCACCGATGGAGAAACAGTTGGCAGGTCTCTCATTGCTCGACGGCTTCCCTGCCCCTTTGGGAGCAATCCCGTCCCTCCCTTAGGTGGCAGGTAGGATAGGACCCAAGGCAGGAGGCTTCTGGATTTTTTTATTTTTTATTTTTAACCCGGGTTGGCCCAGCCCAGTGAGGAGGAGGCAATTTTCTCTTAGTGTGGTGTAACCTTCCCAGGTACCTGCCAAGCATCTTCTTGCCTGAAGGCAGGATGGAGGAGGTTGGAGAGAGGGCTGGGGAAATGGAGTGAGGAGGACCTGGGGATGCATTCACAGCTCCCAGGACATTTCTGGAGGACTCAGGCATTGAGGGAAGCCCCATTACATTGCTCAGGAGGTTAATGAGCAAAGCTTGGGTTGGGAAGGAGAGAGCTGTGGGGAGTTTAGTGCCGAGCCAGCCAGGGGTTAAGATGGGGTGAGCTGAGCCCCGAGGGAAGGCCCAGGTGGTCACAGAGCCCCGCCTTTCTTCCCAGGAACCGTGGCGATTCCTTGGGGCCTGCTTGACCAGCTGCCTTGGACCCGTGTCCTGGATGTCAGAGAGGGGCTCAGGGAACCCCACCATGCCACTCACTCCTCTGGGGACAGAGCAGCAGCATCCCCCCCATTGGCTGTCCTTGAGCCAAGGTGGGAACCTCCTGCCCCCAGGTGGAAACACCTGGCTCCCAGGAGCCTCTCTGGCCGCTCCTGCGGGAAACATGCATATGCCTCAAGGCGGGAGGCAGGTGGGGTGTTAGAACACCTGCCCCCCTGAGAACAGGGGCGTGGCTTGGTGAAGGGTGATGGGGACCCGGGTTTGGTGACGGAGGGAAAGACAGTTATGCACAGGTGTCTTGGGTGGTGATGGGGTATATTTTTATAACTTTGTGAAAAAAAGGTATGTGGAGTCTCTTCCTTGGGGAAAGCTCAAAATCAGGCCCGTAGGAAGTGGCCCGGGGCGCTCCTTCCTGTCCCTTCAGCCTCGCTGAGGATGAAAAGCAGGTGGTTGCTCATCCTGACTCACTCACCTCCCGCACTGTCCGAGTTCTGGGCTTCTCGGGGAGGGGAGGGCGGGTTTGAGATGCGGCAGTATCTTTCCTTTCCTTCCTTTCTTCATCAGAGCTCTTGCTGAGTCTCATCTTTAGAAAAGCTGTTCTCCCCCCCCCCCCCCCCCCCCCCAGTTTGGATTGTGCATATATAACCGGATATAAAGATTTTCTCTGAGGGAGGCAGGCTTTTCATGTCTTTGGTACCCAGGGCAGAGAAAGGAAGACAGACATTGACGAAACGACTGAAAAAACTGAGGTGGTTTTATTTTTTATTTTATCTTATATTTTGATGTTTTATTTTGGTGCCGCTTTCCCTGTCTGCATTTGCTCCTGTCTTATTTCGGGTGGTGGTGCCCTCCCTTCCCCCCGCCCCCGGCTTCCCTCTTCCTGCACCTCAATCTCGTGGCTGTTGTGTTCCTTGATGTGTGGTCTGTCCTCGGGGTTACCCCCGCTTGTTTCTTCTCGAAGGGTGGGGTGGTTTGTGAACCGATCCAGAGATCATGCCTGTTTTTTTTTTCATCTCTGTATCTCTCTCCCTACGTCCCAGCCCACCTGGGCGGCAGAACCTGAGAGAAGGCAAGATGCCACAGGTGCATGCTCGAAAGTAACAGGACGGATGGTCAAATGCAGTTATTTTGGGGGAAACTCGATTCCACGGACGTTACCCTTATTCAGAACATTTCTTGGGGTTACTCGGGGAGTCTGGTACCTGCTGTGACCAGCTGTCACTCTATGAAGCCTGCCTTCGGGCTCGCTCAGTGCAGAGAGAGTCCCGAAGGTCCGTGGCCGAGTGAGGTCACAGGTGCAAAGCACAAGTACTGACCAGTGAGCACAGTGGTCGGACTCAGTTATGTGAGGTGTGAGCTGGCAGGGGAAGCAGCTCTGCAGTTGCAGAACACGCCGAGCGATGCCCACATGGCTATGGCACACCGATGGCTTCTCTCCTGGGAGGACATTGTTAATTTGGAGGAGGGTACTCTGATTTGTTTGAAGAAATCTGTCCTGTTATTTTCTGCTCCTCCCAGGTTCTGACCTTACCAGGGGCAAATAAAATATAAAAAAATAAATAAATAAAAAGAGAGAGAGAGGGAGAGGGAGGGAGATAAATCTCATTTGTGAATTTGTCTTATTGGCGCCTTTTCCCCCCGAGCTGTCTTCCAAGTATTATTTTTACCGTTAAAAAGTTTTTTTTTCTTTTCTAAATGTGAAATGTAATGTTTTTACAGCAACAATATGAAATATATTTTATAAGGAATAAAATGGTACATTGTCTGGTTTACTGTGTGCCTGTCCCTCCGGCCCCTCCCCCTGCAAAGGATATCCTTGGTGTCAAACCAACGACAGCATGCCAGTCACCCGACGGGCAGAGCACGCACATTCATTTGCTTAGAATAATGATAGGTTTCATGATCAGGGACCAGGCCACGAGTTATGGATGACTTCAGTAACCCTCTAAAGGAGTTACTACTATGATCCCCATTTCACAGATGAAGAAAGGGAGGTTAAATCACCCTCCCGAGGTCACACCCCGGGAACTCAGGGCACTAGGACTGCAATCCAGGCAGTAGAACTATTTCCTGTGTTGCTTATACTGACAACGGGGAACATGTTCTTGGCCATGTTGCCGAGTCTGTTGGGGAGTTGGTAAGTGACTTAGGAGAAAATAAGTTAAACTCTACTTACAGGACGAGTTCTGATCTAGTGAGCAACCTGGGCCACTCCCTGAATTTATCGGTTCCATGGTCTGGGATGGCCCAAATGGCCAGTGAGAGCTGGCCTGCGTGGGGAGGGTGCTGGGAGCAGAAAGCAACACGGGACCATGAGGAGCGGACCCCAAGCAGGGCCTGGCGGTGAGGGTGATGGCGCTGTGAGAGGGCCCGGGAGTTCGATCACGGCTGGTCAAGTCCAGAAACCCTGGAAGCTGATGCGAGAGGTTGTCCTTTGGCCTTTTTTCTTGCCTTGAGGTAGAACGGAGGGCTTCTTTCTCCTCCTTCCCTTTGTCCCTGTCCCCCACATCTCTCTAAGAAAGCCCCGGATGGAATCTGCTGCTTCAGTACTATTTGCCCAAGCCCCCACATCCACTCACTGCCTTTGAATTGGACATTCTTCATTTGCAGCCCTGGGCCCTCTCAGCCTTACCTGGTGGCTGTGTCTGCGGACCCCTAACTGTCTGGCTTCTGGCTGTTTGACCCACAGGAGGCCCCAGGCTGGAGGTGGAGGGGCTGAAGGAGAGAGAAGTTGCCTCTTGGGGGCCCTGCCTGCACTGTGTGTCCATGGCTGTGCCCCTGCTGAGAGCTTAGCTCAGTGGGTTCGGGGACTCCCCCTTGCCCCAGCTCTCACCTCCTCAACAGAGCGCCTCACCCTCCCCTACGATGTAGATGGTGGACTCCTCAGTCACTCTGTCTGGGCACCCCAGATACTTCCTGGCTGGGCTCTGATAGTTATGCACCTTAACATGTTTTGGGTTAAACTGGAGGGGAAAAAAAGGACAAACAGCAGGTTTGTCCAGGCTCTGCCCCTCGCCTCACATCCCAATCTAGTGGTCCCAAACCAGCAGGATCTGCATCTCTTGCAACTTGTTAAAAAGGCAGATTTCTGCCCTAACAGAGGGTTAGCGCAGCGGTTGCCAACCTCTTGGACCTCACGGACCACCAGAGCATCGTCCGATGGCCGAGGTGCCGGGATCACTGCCCCGTCAGGGCACACACAAGAATCCACCGATGAGTGCACGAGTAAGTGGAAGAACAAATCAATGGTTCTTTCCCTAAATTTAAAAGTAAAGAAGTTTTCATGCAAATTTCTATTGATCCCTGGTATGCGGAGTCCATGTGTAGTAATCTATTGCTTGAGGCTAAATTACATCTTCACTTACGGCTCTCTTACACTGCAAGTGCTTACGCTGAGTCAGAAATGGGGTTGGGGTGAGGGGTTGAGTGGGGGAGGAGGGCAGGGTGGGATGGGGGCTGGGGGCTGGGTGAGACCCAACAACTTGCCCGTTGGCTATATTGCCCTGCGCCGGGAGTTTCTGAGAAACTCGGCCCCTCTGTCCCATCCACCCAGCTGCATGTGGGACACTGCACAGTTGCCTGTCTGTGCTCACGTCTCTTGCCTGTCATACTTGACAGAAAGCAGAGACACAGGCTTGTGGCCCCCGCCTCCCCTCCATGAGGCTGCTCTGCCGGTGTGCTTGGAGTGCGTGCTTCTCGGTGTCGTCCCTGAGAAACAGCTGACCCACCCATCACCCATTTGCTCGGTAGAAGTTTAATGGAGAAATATCTGTTTAAAACAATCCGTCAGAAAGAACAGCTCTTTTACAAACAAGTGATGGCAGTGACGAGTCAAAACCCAGGCTTGGTGTCCCCTTCCTTCAGCCCACCCCTAGAAGAGGGAAGAGGTGGATGAGGAGGAAAGACGGGACCATTTACACGTCAGCTGGAGGAATTACAAAAATACACTCTGATGTAGGATTGGGTTGCCATGAAACATGCGGTGATGGGGGGCGGTGGCGGGGGGCCGGGGGGGGGTTTGACAACCAGGCAGGGAGGCGCTGCACCCTGGGGGTGAACACTTGGAGGCGAAGCCTGGCTCAGTGCCCTGGGACGGGAGGAATCCGGATGCCCAGCCGGCAGGTCTGGGCCTGGCGACATGCTGTTTTGGGGATCACCCGGACACCTGGGGAGACAGAAATGATTACAGTGACAAACCAGACAGTTTGACGGACCCTTCGATCCTATTTGGCCTAGTGACTGAGCGGGGGAAAGGAGGCAAAGAAGAGCTACCGACCAACCAAACAGTCCCTGGAGCCGTCAGAGGGGATCCCTAACTCCTTTTACACCTGCTGTCCCTGGCTCTAATGCATATACTACATATAGACCTATTACATGGTAGACCATCATACTATAGCCTATTGGCACAACTAGGAGCATACAGGGCAGGCCTGTGGGCTGGTATTTGAAAGGCACTGGATAGGTGCCCTACCTGGAGACCATTGTCTTATCCCTGGTATGTGGAGTCCATGTGGAGTCATTTATTTCTTGAATTACATTCTCACATATGGTTCTCTTACATTGCACATGCTCTTTAAGCCTGATTTTACTGATTCCGCATCATGAATGAATGTGCTCATTTCCCACTGCCCAAAAGGATCACAGCTCCGGGCAGCAGAGAGACAGAAGGTGCCCAGACCTTCTCATCATTCTGCCTGGGACTGGTCCTGCACACAATGTCCCTCCTTCCTAACGCATCCCTACACTTTCTGATTAGGGTTCTTTGGCCCATTCTAGTGTGAGGCAGCCCCGCTTCCTCCAACCTTCTCAGAACAGACTGGCTCTGGATATCCCACAAGTATAGCTTAGCACTGGCAACTGGGATCCCCCAAGCTGGAGGAGTCTCAAGCACAGGTAGGGCTGGTTGGGTTGTAAAGGCAAGCTCATAAGTACACATCCATCTTGGAACTCAGCAACCACGAATGTGTGGGAAAGAAATAGATGCTCTAGAAGGGGAAAGCAAGCAATCGACAGGACCCAAATGGGCTGGTTGATGTTTCTAACGTTTCCATCAGGAAGTTTACTTCGTGAGCAGAGCAGCAGACAGAAGCTAGTTTTGTCTCAGTGCCGCTCAGTTGGAAGCTTAATAGAAAATTAGAAAAGCCAATTGCCCGAATAGGGGCTCAAATGGTGTTTTTTTGTTTGTTTGTTTGTTTGTTTTTTAAATACACTGATTCCTGCAAATGTGGCTGATTTTAAACTGTCTTTCGGTAAAGAAAATGGTTGTACTTCAGAATCAGACATGAGCTTCAGTTCCCTTAAGAGCCACTTTATAGAAGAGTGTCTGAGATTTGAGAGAATTCAATTCAATCTATCAACCATTTGCTCAGTAGATGTATTGTTAAGCTCTGTGCAGATATGGCTTGGGAAGAAATAGAATGCTTGTTAAGGACCCGAGAGTATAACTTCAGAAGCAGTGCAGGTCCATTCAGGGCCTTCGCAGATTAGTCATTCTGCTAAAACAAACCCAGCGGCCTTCTCACAACCCAATGCACATGTCCATATTTGGCCAGGGGCCTCTTGCAGACAAGTTGGCCTACCTGCAAAGAGCCACGTGGGCTGCCTCCCTGCTGAGGTGTGAGTGCCAAGATGAACATGCATTCATATGCTTTGAAGCAGGATTATGAACAATCTGGCTACCTTTGCACTGTGGGACACAAACAACAACAGCGCATGCAGACTTTTTTTTTTTTTTTTTTTTTTTTTTTTGCCTCGGAGGGAAAAGTCCCATTTGGGTAATGTTTTGGAAATGTTTTGATTAACTGATTAGTTCTTTCTGTGAGGGCAAGAAATACTATTTAAGAAGAGGTATATATATGTGTGTGTGTGTGTGTGTGTGTGTGTGTGTGTGTTTACTGATTTCAGAGAGGAAAGGATAGGGAGATAGAAACATCAATGATGGAAAAGAATCACTAGTTGGCTGCCCCCTGCATGCCCCGCACTGGGGATTGAGCCCACAACCATGGCATATGGCCTGACCAGGAATCAAACTGTGACCTCCTGGTTCATAGGTCAATGCTCAACCACTGAACCACGCCAGCTGGCCTCTGCATATAATATTATGCCCATGTGTAAATTAAGGCACATAGGCTTGATGGGTTTTCTAAGATTTTCATAAAATTCCATTGTGCTAGCTCTCTGTGCCATTCAGCATTATAGATAGGTTGATGGGATGAGGAAAGTTGAATTTGTAATGAGGCAATAGATCAGGGTCTTTGATATGTATTATAGGTACATGTAGAAGCATGGTCATGAGGTAAGGAAAGACCAGAAGGGAGGAAGGAATAAGGGCAAGCACACAAACCAAAGCAAACCAAAAATGGCCCTGGGAAGATGCGAAAAGTGAGGAAAGATGAAAGCAATTGAGTCATTTGGGCCAGATTCTCAAAGCTCAGTGATGATGCCATCAACCACAAGGAGTCAGACCATTTGGCCAGTCCATCAGGCGATAGGATGGACACACGGCAAGTGAAAGAAGAGCAGAAAGTGTAGCTCCTGGCCCTAACCACAACTCCTACTGGGGTTGACTGGGAAAGTTTCATGGTTCCATGAAATCCAGCTGTCTAGAGATATAGAGGGAGACATGGGGGACAGCTAAGCTGTTTTTGAAGGTGAAATAGCAATATCACAGCCTCAGAAATAAGACTCTGCTAATGGATAAGGGTAGGTCTAGCTTCTGCTGCTTAGAGATAGTCTCTGAGAAAAGGTGAACTGAATGGTTGCCATGGCAATCGAATAAGAGGATTGGTTCCCCTTATCTGTCCCCATAGTAACTAAACTCCTGGAAAATTATAGAGGAATTAGTTATCTTAACCTACTACTATTATCCCCATGGTAACTAGTCTCTCAATGGCAGTGGTTAGCCTAAAAAAAAAAATCTTTGCTCCTGAAAAAAAAAAGGGTGGGCAGGAGGCAGGGGGGTGAACACCTTGGGGAGCGGGGCTTGTATATTTGGGGGGCTAATGCGCTAAGACGAATATATGAGGTTTCTTCTTGCCCCCAGCTCATTCCTGCCCAACTCACTCATGGGTTGAAGTGGACGGTGCAGCTGGGAGGGGCTCCCCTTCCGGCTACACATTACCATTCCGGTTCAGGGTGCGCCGGCGCTGGCTGGACTGCAGGCTCAGGACCAGGTACTGCCTCATGAACTCACTGAACCGCTTCTGGTTGGCCAACTTCCTGGCCGACTTCCGGGCCCCGGTGAAGCCCCCAAACCTCTTCTGCAGCTGCTTCTGCTCCTTCCCATCCTCCTCCACGCTGGGCTCTGTCTCTTCCTGCGCTTCGACCAGGCTCCTGACACGGGGCATTCGCTTCAGATGCATCTCAGAGGTGACTGGCTGGTAAAGAGCAGCCGCCAGGTGCTCTGGGTCAGAAGGGCTGAGCTGCCAGGGGCCCCTGGCAATGATCTTGGTGCATGGCGCCCAGAGAGGGCTGGGCAGGACCTTCCCTTCACACTCGAGGATGCACACCTGCCAAGACAGAGGTGGGAGGAAGGGAGAAGGATAGGGGGGGGGCATCTATTAATCCAAGGCAGTGAGGGTATAAAGCCCCTCTATGGTCTATACTGGTACCATCCAAGTTCTTTTAAAGCATGTCTTTCTTAAGTGCTGTGCAGCCGTTCTACATGTAATTGTTTAGGTTCATAGAATTTCTAAGTTGGAAAGAGACAGAAAACTCCCTGGCCCAGCTCCATCATTTCGCAGATGAAGAAACTTGGGGCTCAGAGATGGGAAACTACCTTATGCCAGGCGACACAGCAAGTTAACACAGAACACACGTGCTAAACTGAACCTTAACTGTTAGGGACGTAGTTGGGTTTTTGGAACCAAACGGCTCAGGAGGGTCACCCTTTATCGGACTTGGAAGTCAGACTGACTTAAGACATTGTGTGGGAAACCGCCTATTGTCTTCACCAGCAGAGAGGTGTGGGCAAGGTCCGAGCAACGCACCCACTGTTTAGTCTAGCTAACTGAAGCAACTTCCCCACCAGACAGTCATGTAGATCCTTACTGATAAGAGTCTGTTACAGGAAATTGCCGGCCTCAGGGCTGTAGGTGTATCCCAAATTGAATAAAAGGATGGCAAGGCCTGAGCCCAAGGGGAGTCCTTCCTCTTGAGTTGGGCTCCTGCCTGGTCCTCCAATATTTCCAAATTATTATTTCTTGTCTCATCTCTTTCATTTGCGTGTGGTCCCTCTTCTAGAGCCCGAACCCTGAATCACGCAGGACATGGGACATGCACAGCATTGGGGATGCCAGAGCATGTAGTTAAATCTGCATGGTTATTTTAAGGTCACCAGGAAAAGATCAATCCTGGTATTAATTTTTCACCTCCCCTCCCCCGAGACACTAGTCATCACTATCTGTGCTTCATTTATAGAAAAGAAAGGTCAAGGTAGGGAAGCACAGATAGTGATGAACACCCTGCTCAACGGCTTATGTGTGTCTGCAGTACTTTGAGTTGATGGAATTGAATGGGAGACTAGGATCCTATGAGACCAAAAGATAAAGTGCCAATGGGAAAAGGGCTCATTTTCAAATGGCCGGACCAGAGAGGAGAAAGAGACAGCACCCAGTGGGAGTGCCACCCTCCTTCACTGGTCAGGTGTCCAAAGAGTACTCTTCACCAAGCCCGCATGCTAGCCCACATGCTGTCAGATGTTGGCACCGACTGAGACTAGAGCTGTGGTTTTTTTGAGCAGGTCTTTCCCATTAGCTTTTTTTCAGAGAAGCGGGCAGAAGTAATTCGTAGTCAGTGCCCACGCAGCTGAGAGACCCAGAGAAACCTCTTTTTCACACCCACAGTGTCACTGGGTATGAAAGAAGGGCAGGCAACTTCAGTAGGTGGGAAGCGTGGACTTGAGGACAATGGTAGCTACAAACTTGAGTGCTCTATAAGAAGAGCTACTGAAGTTGGTTTGGATGCAAATTCTTAGCCTGTACCTCTGGAGATTCTGATTCGGCAAGCCAAGGCAGAGCCAGGAATCTAGGAATTTGCTTTTTTTTTTTTTTTTCTTGCAAGCACTGCAGGTGATTCTGAGGCTGGACTATGAGCAATCCCACTGTGGAACTTGCTGTGAGGAGGAAGAAGCCATCAGGGAACACTGTGGCCAGAGATCCCCTCAGAGATAAGCTCACGTGGGTCTGTCCTTAGCTTGCCTCCAAAACACTTGGAAGAAAACTGGGTGGAATCAATTTGTAACACGTTCTTTCAGACCACAATGCCCTTGGGTTATTACTTGGCAGCAGTGGGTCTCCACTGGAGGAGATTTTGCCTCCCTCCCCCTCCCCAGGAACATTTGACAATGTCTGGAGATATTTTTGGTTGTCACACGGTGGATGGGTAGGGGGGACATTATTGCTAACGGTGGGTAGACTCCAGGGATGCTGCTAAACTTCCTCCAATGCACAGGACAGCCCCCACCCCAACAAATAATTATCCAGCCTAAACTGTCCTCAGTGGCGAGTCTGAGAAACAACAGAGTCAAGAGGAAAGCAGGAAAACATGGGTAGCAGCACGTGGAAGTCAAGAGGAGGGTAGAATTTTGGGCACCTGGTCCAATCCTCATAGAACAGCAGCCCCAAACGCGTGTTGAATTGTTCTATACCATCAGTTTACAGGAACAGGTGGACATTGTTAAATCTAAAGGCTATTGGATCTTCTGCAAGTCCCCGAGGTCTCTAGGCCCAGATGGTAATGAGATTGTGTGTCAATCAGAGAAAATGAAATTCTATGATCGAACCAGATGCATAGCCCCGTACGAAGGCACATCATACTGTTAGACGAATTAGGTACTCGAAAAATCATCGGAACGCGTGATTTCAGAGAAGGTTTTGGGCAAATGTGAGAAATCCAAATTCACAACAGCATTTGCAGCACCAGATGGGCTCCGGAGCTTAATGCCGAACCGTCTGGTCTGAGGGAGCCACCAGCCTCTTCCCAGAGATGGGCTAATAGCCTATTAAGGGAGCTGGACTCATTCTCCCAGCCCACACTGACGGCATGGCTATATTAAGCCAGAGCGTGGGGGAGCATCTGGAAGGTCTCAGAATGATGCCAAGTTGATCTGTAAAGCTGGGCTGGTGGGAAAACTGATGTCTGGAATCACAGACTGGGGAACAGGCACACAAGCCCATTAGAAGGGAAAGAAGGGCGTGAGGGGCGAGGGACTCTGTGAGGATTGCCACGCAGGGCAGTGGGAGGCAGCTCATCCCAGGCAAACCCCCTGCACCTGTCCCTAAGGCCCCCTTTGCAATGACCTCTGAGTGAGCCAAAGCAGCCACACTACAGTCATTTCCCCAGCCCGTGCTTGCTTCCCTGTCCCCAGCTTTAACAAACGTCCTCTAAAAATCACCCGGACTCCTGTGGTGAAATTTTCCCTTCAGGAAGTCAAGAACCTACACACTACCGGCCTGCTCAGGTCCAGATCCCCTTTCTGGCAGCACTACTACAGATCAGCCACTCAGGGTGCTCATGTAACGAAGACAGAAAGCCCTAAAAGAAGGCAGCTTCTTTTATTGTTAGTTTTTAGGAAGTTTTAAATACATTTCCCCAGACCTCTCGGTAGGTTACCTTCTTCTTTGTCTCTCAAACATGCCGGGTTTTTTTTTTTTTTTTTTTTTTTTTCTCCTTGAGCTGATACGGCAAAGCACCGTTCACAACCCAGGCCATGACACTGGGTTTTGTATGGGAGTCATTTACTGACCAAAATTACAGCCTGAGGAAAAGCCAGCCATGGCTTTTGGACCATGGACTTGGCGTGAGAAATAAAGGGATTCTTGATGAAGCCAGGGGTCCAAGAGGTTCTGGGAATAGCTCAGGCTTGTATAACGTGGCAGAGGGGCTGGGAAAGTGACCTCGCTGAAAGAAGTGAGTTCCCTCCACCCCATTATTCACAGAGTGGACATACTCAGGTGTTGCCAGATTTGAAAACGAGATGTGGCTGCCTACACTCTAGACATTTCATTAAAAAAAAAAATTAAAATAAATACAAACTAGAAGCCAAACAACCCGGCAGCCAGTCCCTCTGGGGGTCAGCAGGCCCTGCGAAGGGTTGACCCCTCACTGTAAGGCCGTAACTGGCCATTCTCTAACCAGCCATTGTTTGGAAGAAGTAACTCTGTGCCACACAGCACCCCGGGCCACGTGTGGGAATGCCCGGGACCATCAGCAGAGGAAGCTCACACCGTATGTAGAGAGACAGACGAGCAGACACAAGGAACTGTCAGAGCACCGAAGAGGGAGGCGCTGGTTCTATGGGAGCAGGTGGAGAAGAAGGATGAAACTTAACTGGGATTTGGAAGTAAAAGAGCAGGGAGAGGCACGTGCAAGGTGGGAGGGCAAGTTCCGGGCATCGTGGGACAGCCAGGAGGGGAGGCGGGATTTCTGGGAAGTGTGGGATGTGATTGGAGCCCAGGAGAGACCAGGTGTGGGTGTACGTTTGGGAGTTCCCTGGGGCCTGGGGAGAGCTGAAGGCCTGGATGTGGGGATGACATCTCTGAGGGAGCGAGTACATGGAGGCGAGAATCAGGGAACCTCGGCAGTCACTATGCTTAGGGGGTGGGGAGAAGAACAGGAGGCCAACCTGAGGCAGAGAAACAAGAGTCCCAAGCAGGGAAGAGCGCCAGGTAAGTTCACCAAGCAGACAGCCAGTCTGTGGGCCTGCGGTTCGGTGCTTAGGAGCTGCTGCGGACCCTGAGAGCAGCCGAGAGTGACACAGTGGCAGGGGCTGGGGTGGGGGTGTGTGCGTCAAAGTCACAATCTTTTAGAACAGTGTTTCCCAAAGTGTGGTACGCATACCCCCAGGGGTACGGGAAGAGTTTGGTGGGGGTACGCATTGCACCGGAGTTTGGTGGGGATATGGACTGCACTGTGCTTCGCTGTGCCTAATTCTACGTTCTCATGAGTACAAGGGGTACAAAAATTATAGAAGGGGTACACATATGTCAAAAGTTTGGGGAAACACTGTTTAGAATAATGACAGCAAAGGAAAGGAAAGAGCAGGCGGGAGAGGGTTAAAAAGGAACGTTCAGTAGGGAAATCAGTTGTTCCATGGAAGGTGGAAGGCGGAGGAGAAGGAACTCAGATGCAAGGCAGGTGGGGAGAATGAAGGCAGATCCTGGTGGCGGGAAGGAGACTGGAGAGAATGTGTACTTGCTGGCCACTGTCTTCTCGTACAGGTCAACTCAAGGTCATGGTGTCCAAGGGAGTGGGAAGGCACACCAGTGTTTCACAATCAGGTGTGACATTTTTTTTTTTTTTTTTTTTTTTTTTACAAGGAGGTCATGTAATCTGTGAATGATTTTCCTTGTAAAAAAGACATTAGATAACCCTAACCGGTTTGGCTCAGTGGATAGAGCATCAGCCTGCGAACTGAAAGGTCCCAGGTTCGACTCTGGTCAAGGGCTTGTACCTTGGTAGTGGGCACATACCCAATAGGGAGTGTGCAGGAGACAGCTGAGAGATGCTTCTCTCTCATCGATGTTTCTAACTCCCTTCCTCTCTGAGTCCATAAAATCAATAATATAAATATATATATATATATATTTAAAGACATTAGATAAATAAAGCTGTGGTACATTTATACCATGGAATGCTATGCAGCTGTAAAAAAGAAGGATCTCTTAGCCTTTGAGACAACATGGAGGGACCTGGAGAGAGTATTATGCTAATCGAGATAAGCCAGTGAGAGAAAGATCAAGTATCACATGATCTCACTGGTATGTGGAATCTGATGAACCAGATAAACCAGTGAACAGAATAGATCCAGAGACATAGAAATGTGGAACAGTCTGACGAATCTCAAAGGGAAGCAGGGGTGGGTGGGTGGGGGGAGGTTAACTGGGGGGTGCATACTAGAGGCCCAGTGCAGGACATTCGTACACTTGGGGGTGGAGGGCAGGTGGTTCCCCATCCCAGCCTGTGCCCTGCCCTCTCAAAGTCCAGGACCCCTGGGGGGATGTCCCATTGCCGGCTAAGCCCACTTCCACCACTACCACTACGGTTGCCTGCTGTGAGCCCAGCTTCTGGCTGAGTGGTGCTCCCCCTGTGGGAGTGCCTGCATTGAGCATCTGCCCCCTGGTGGTCAGTACATGTCATAGCAACCGGTCGTTCTGCCGTTTGGTCGATTTGCATATTAGGGTTGTATTATATAGGATATGCATAGCCCATGGACTCAGATAATAGTGTGGTGAAGGCCTGGAAAGGATGGGGGCAGGATGGAGGAGGTCAATGGGGCGGGGGAAGACATCTATAATACTTCCAACAACAAAGGTAAGTTAAAAATAATACTTTAGAGCAGACTCAGGGTTATCCTTACAGTTAAGTTCCAAATACTTTCTTTTATTATAAAATACACATAACACCAACTTTTTACCATTTTAACCATTTTTAAGTGTGCTCTTGGTGGTATTAAGTACACTCTCAATGCTGTGCCATTGTCACCACCATCCATCTCTAGGACTTTTCTATCTTCCTAACATGAAACTCCATGCCCAGCCACCCCCTCCTCCCTATTCCTCCAGCCCCAGTGACCACCTTTCTACTTTTTGTTTCCATGAATTCGACCGCTGGTGACTCTAAATAGAATCAGACAGTATTTGTCCTTTTGTCCTGTGAAAATCATTCACAGATTACATGACCTCCTTATAAAAAGTGTCACACCCGATTATGAGACACTGATGTGCCTTCCCACCCCCTTGGACACCATGGCCTCGGGTTGACCTGTTCTTTTGTGTTTTGTGTCTGGACAGGTCAACCCAACTTAGCACAATGTCTCCAAGTTTCATCCACATTGTTACACATGTCAGAATGCCTTTGGTAAGGCTGAGTGATATTCCATTGTCTGTATGCACACATTTTGTGGATCTGTTCATTGTTGAGGACACTTGGGTGGTTTCCACCTTTTGGAGATTGTGAATAATGCTGCTGTGGACATGGCTGTACAGATATCTTTTGAGTCCTGGTGCTTTTTTTTGAGTGGGAAATAAAGGGTTGCACTTATGGCTAGTGATTCAGGAATTGTGCATAACCTTCAGTCTGGTCTAGGCTGCAAGCAGAGAACCTTAGCAGTGTGGCAAGTATGAGATTATTGCTTCATCAATGCCTTCACTGGTTTACATGCAAACTAGTTGTCTACTCTGTTTTTTTTGTTTGTTTTTTTTTAAAAATATATTTTATTGATTTTTTTACAGAGAGGAAGGGAGAGAGATAGAGAGCTAGAAACATCGATGAGAGAGACATATCAACCAGCTGCCTCTTGCACACCCCTTACCGGGGATGTGTCCGCAACCAAGGTACATGCCCTTGACCAGAATCAAACCCGGGACCTTTCAGTCCGCAGACCGACGTCTACCACTGAATCAAACTGATTTCGGCTTTACTCTGCTTTTTACTAAGACCAAGGGAAAGAGATTTTGGGTGAACTTTTAAACCTCTCTGGGCTGCACAGAAAAGACATGGGGGCCTTCTGTGCTCTAGCCAATCTCAGCTTTTCTCAGTTCCTTAAATGCCACGCTCCTCCCTTGTATAGGCATTTGCAAATGCCCCCTCTCCACCCTCCCCAATTGCCCCCATGCCTTCCTTTACTACTTGGGGCCCACTCTCTGCCTCTTCACTTCCACTCATCTTTTTTAAAACATTTTTTAAAAAAATATATTTTTATTGATATCAGAGACGAAGGGAAAGAGAGAGAAACATCAATGATGAGAGAGAATCACTTATCATGCCTCCTGCACGCCCCACACTGGAAACTGAGCCCACAACCAAGGCATGTGCCCTGACCGGGAATCAAACCATGACCTTTTGGTGCATAGATCGACACTCAACTACTGAGCCATGCTGGCTGGGCTCACTCCCACTCATGTTTAGGTCTCCTTAGAGATTCAGTTCCTCCAAAAGCCCTCTCTGCCGCTCTAGACTAGGTTGGGGTCCGCTGCTCTGTGTTCCCCCAGCACCAGTAATTACTCTCTCTCGGAGGGACTGTGGGTTCTTCTCCCACTGGCTGCAAGGCCCATCCACCTGCTCACCTTTGGATCCCTTGTCCTAGTCAGGAAAACCATGGCGGGTGAATGAGAGGGATGGATACACTCAGAAAGGGTTATCTGGGAATACTTTTTGTGATTCAGCAGTTATTACTGCTCAGAAAACAGGCTCGAAAACCACAGGGCAGGAGGAGCTTGGCCTTGAGGCCTGTTGGGCTGTGCCTGCTCACCGCTGGTGCCTTGGCCCAGCCTGAATACCTGGTTTCTATGTTTGTACATTCGCCTTAAGGGACATAGTTACTTCTGGTTGCTTTAAAGGTTGAGGAGTTTGAAAACATGGCATCTTTTGAAAGGAGTTTATTTAACAACAAAGAAAAATAATAATAATGGAATTATATTGGATTTCATAAGAGAGGAATAACTATTTAGATAAAAATAAAAGCAGGGGCGCCTTGGTCCCTATGGCTCAGCAGTTAGAGCGTCGGCCAGCACACTGAAGAGCTATGGGTTCTATTCCTCGTCCAGGCCACATACCTGGGTTGCAGGTTTCTCCCCAGCACTGGCGGGGGTTCGTGCGAGGGGCAATCAATCAATGTGTCTCTCTCACATCAATGTTTCTCTCTCTCTCCCCCGCCCCCACCTTCCACACTCTCTAAAAATCAATGGAAAAAATATCCTCTAGTGAGGATTAACAACAACAATAAAAAAAGGCAGTGGAGAAAGCAGCTTATTTAATAAAAAGAAACGTACTGTCAGATTTGTGCTTCAAATGCAAAATTTAACATAGAGCATTTTAGGCGATCATTTGCAAAATCATCTGTTATATTAGCAATGGAGGTCAGCAAACATGTTGAACTCAGGAGGGGATGCTTAAACAAGTTATACTGTATTCACCGAGAGAAACAACTTGTTTAGTAACTCGGGGAAATGGAAATTATCCTGGCATAATATAGCAAGAGAAAACACTAGGATTCTTCCTCTTGACTGGTAGGATTAAATGTGATTCCAATTCTCTTTTTAAAAAAACTTCTCTAATTTGCCAAACTCTCTCACATGCTTATGCACTCTTTTAATGGGGGAGCAAAATGGCAGTGTGGTCAGGCCTCTATTTGAACTTGGTCAAGTGGACATAAATGTTTACAGATTTATGCATTTGGGTTTGCCCTGGGAAGATGCTCACGTCGGCTTCTGTTCCCCTACAACCACGTGATCCCGGGAGAGGCCTCAGTTTCTCCCTCGGGGTCTGCTCTGGAGGAGCTGGGGAGGAGGAGACAGCTTACCTCGAGGTCGAAGCTGTCGAGCGCTGGGCGGAGCTTCTCCCTGCAGGTCAGACAGTCCCTCTGGCAGCTGCCAGACACGCTGGAGAAGAGGCTGAGCAGCAGGAGGTCGCAGAGCAGGGCTTTCATGGTGCAGGAGCGGGAGGCAAGACGCTGAAACACAGGGGAGGGTGCGCGACCGTTAGAACAGCCTCCGGCGGAGACCCTCACCCAGGGGACGCAGGACATACGCTCTTCAGAAGGGACAGTGCCGGCTGAGGCCCACCTCCCAGGAGGCAGGGGATCACCGGCAAGGGCACAGGGGTCTGCTCCTGTCAGCCAGGCCGGATGCCCATGCGGGGAGCCAGAGCTCCTGGCAGAGAGCCCCTGGGAGTCCGCCACCCAGCTGGCCTCCCCTCGCACGGGCACTTTCAGGGAGCTTTGCCACTGAGTGCGTGACCTTGAGACAACCTCTCCCAGCCTCGGTGTTCATGGCTGTAAAAGGGGAAGATAGTCCTGTGCCACCTAATGACGTTTCGGTCAACAACGACCGCGTGTATGACGGTGGCCTATAGGATTATAACGGAGCTGAACAATTCCTATCACCCGGTGACGAGGCAGCCATGGGACTGTCACAGTGCACACTGTGCTACTCCTGCTGGCGCAGACAAAGCTGAGCTTCCGTCACATAAAAGAGAGCACGATGGACGGTACACGATACGGATAATAAACGACTGTGCCACAGGCTTCTGTATTTATATACAATACTTTTCACCGTTATTGTGGGGTGTGCCCTTTCTCCTTACAAAAGCAGTGTGCCGTACAACCATATGCCGTGCGGCCCCAGGAGCAGCCTCACGCATTTTTGTGTTCACCGCATCTCATGGTTGCATCCTTTTAAGTTTGAATTGATCTCATGTTTTGTACAGTAATATACTGTGCAGGCGTACAGTCTAGGAGCAATAGGCTGTACCATGGAGCCTGGGTGTGTAGTGGGCTCTAGGTGTGTGTAAGTGCACTCTGTGGTGTTCACACAACCAGGAAACCGCGGAGCGATGCATTTCTCACAACGCATGTCTGTCGTTCAGCGGTGCATGATGGCGGCGGCACCTGCCTTGTCCCAGGGCTGGTGCGAAGATACGATGAGAACTGTAAGGGGCGTTTTGTGAAGTGTTGTGCAAGGGCGAGGTGTGCAAACTGTGAGATTTACGCGTGACACATGTACTTCATCTCATCCTCTCAGCCTTCCTCACGTCAGCCAGGAATGTCCTACATCCCAGAATCCGCTCTTTCAGGAGGCTGCAGGTTCCTTGTCTTTTTCTCCTGCTAGCCGTGAGCTAACTCCTGAGCACAGGGCCAGCATGTTCACTCACCTTGCTATCCCATGCAAAGCACAGAATCAGACACATGGATACACACACACACACACACACACACACATACACATACATATATATATACACATATATACACACACACATACACACACACACACACACATATATATATATATATATATATATATATATATATATATATATATATCAAATAGCTTATCTGGTTTGGCTCAGTGGTGGAGCGTCGGCTGAGGAACCAAGAGGTCACTAGTTCGATTCCCAATCAGGGCACAAACCTGGATTGTGGACTCGATCCCCAGTGTGGGGCAGGCAGGAAGCAGCCTATTGGTGATGTTCCTCTCTATTTCTCTCCCTGACTCTAAAACTCATATCAATAAAAACCATATCAATAAAAAATGAATAAATGATTATAAGATAATAGCTCCAACCATTGTCAGATCAGAAGTTTATATTCTTCATGTAGGATTGCCCGACAGATGTTTCGTTTTTCCCTTTCCCTCTTTAAATTGATCCTGTGATGAAGCCTCCTGAATAAAAAAAAGCTATTTCCTTGAACTGAATCACTCTGGGTCCCTATAGAACCATCTTCGCTCGGAGGATTCATTGGAAAGGGGAACAAGCGGACTCTCTGGAAATGTTGCAAATATTCTTGATTGAGGTGTTGGTCACAGGGCTGTCTACATTTGCCAAAACTCATTGAATTTATTTAAAAAAATATTTTATAGAATTTTTTACAGAGAGGAAGAGAGAGGGATAGAGAGTTAGAAACATCGATGAGAGAGAAACATTGATCAGCTGCCTCTCACAGAGATGGTTTTGAAGGATGAGGAGGTCTTCCAAGAAGAGGGCATTTGAGAGATACAGAAAACAGTCTTTTCACAGGCGCAGAGGAGCTATGTACACAGCCTGTGAGGGGAGGCTGAGCAGGCTGGTGCATGGATGGGGCCACCTTCCCACATGGGGAAGCACCTGCTGAAAGACGAGCTCTGTCTGATAGAGCGGGGTCTTGTTTGTTATCCTAAAGGGTTTGAGCTTTACCCTCCAGAGGTTGAGGTGCCCTGGGTTAATGAACCATGAGCACACTCATCTGTACAAAGGAATGTATCTCCAATGCAGTTTTCCCTCTCTATCTCAAGAGTGAGCACCTTAGTTGGGATTCATTGCCTTGGCTATTGTGATAAGCCTCCTAATCTGTCTGCCTAATGACCTGACCTCCTACCAAACCATCTTCCAATCCAGTGCTTTGCACTGAAGATAATTCTCTAACTCCCGCTGGGACTTAGCACCACTCCTGTTACTCACCCTCTGTCTCGTCTATCATCCTGGTGAGTCACCTGTCATTCCTACTCTATCGGGTCCTTAATGGCTTTGTGTCTGGGCACGTTCTCTTCCTTCTACCCAGAATACACGTCTCCAACTCATACTTCATACTCAGCTTCAGAGTCATCGCCTCTGGGAAGCCACCCCCACCCCCTGGTCTCAGCTACGTGCATCTCTGCTGCTGCGGCATCGAGATGCAGCACATCACAGTGGGAAGCCAGGGAACCTCTGGGGCCTGTCGGATGGGAACCACAGCTCTATGTCACAGAGTGGTTGTGACTGGCGAGTTCCCATCAGCTCATCGCTGCAGACTGTAACAATGGAACAACATAGTATCTACCTCATATGACAACTAACTGGTTAATGTTTATAAGCAGTTAATATAGCACCTGGCACATACATACTACACTGAATGGCCAGATTATTATGATCTCTGAACACATAATAATCTGGCCACTCAGTGTATATCCTATATAATAAAAGGCTAATATGCAAATTGTCCCCTCGACCAGGAATTCGACCAGCAGGCAGGCCAGCCACCCATCCATGTCCCCTCCCCCTGGTCAGGCTGGCCAGGCTCCATCCATGCATGAATTCATGCACCAGGCCTCTAATTACATTAATATACACTGAGTGGCCAGATTATTATGTGTTCAGAGATTATAATAATAATCTGGCCACTCAGTGTACATATTATATAAAAGCCTAGAGGAAAAAAAAGAGTTCAGCACACAGCCTTTCCTCAATAATGTTCTAGCCTCTCGCAGGGCACTTACCACATTCCCCTGTAAGCTGGGACATCTGTGTGTGTTTCTCTCCCTGACCTGTGACTTCCTGAAGAGCAAGGGTCATATTCTAGGGTTCTCTATTTCCAGTACTCAGGGTTAGGAACTTAGGAAGTGCTCAAAAAAGTCTGACAAATGACAGTAGAGGATCTCAGAAGCCCTCTTCCTCAGAAGCCTTCTCCTTAGCAGAGGTAGAGTTGGGGAGTGTCTAGAAATATGCCTCATTGGGGGCCCAGAGTGCTGACAGCCCGGGGGCCACTTCAGCATCTGCGTCACTGACAGTGTCTATTCGCTACCTGTGCGGATTGGGGAGTGGGAACCAGTTTTGTTTCGGGGCGATGCAGTGTGCCACCCTAAGCTGGAAGTCCAAGCATGTTTTGCTAGTGGACTGGTCACATATGGCCACAAGGCAGGGTTGGAATAGTAATATCTGTGAAGTTTGAATGGTCACATAGGGGTTGGTAGACAAGCTACGAAAGCCCGTCACCACTTACAGGTTCTTTTGAAGAGTTTTCAAAACTCAAGAGTATCTTGAGTTCTAAAAATAGCCAACGTGTAAGCCAATATATTAAACTAAGGACTGCTTGCATAGGTCTTTGTGTAATTCGAGATTTGCCTTTCCATTTCTTATTCTACTAAATTTTAGTCTTTCTAACCTGGAGGTTATTTTTGTGGAATCTGTCTGGAATGGCATGGCTGTGCTCTCTGTGGCCACATGATGGCAGCACCTGGATGCCACAGAAGAAAGGGAGGCTGGGAGAAAAGGGACTGCTTCCTTTGGTTCTTAATACAAAATTGCAATACACATTTGCATAGGCCGAGCTGATAAGTTGTGACAGATGTTAATAGAATGCTCTCCAGCTGAGGTTTTTCACCAAGAGCATTAACTGTGACAACTTGCTCACCCAGGAAATGTTTGATGGCTTGGCTGATATTTGTTATCTCAAATTCTGGGTAAATGAGTTTTAGGGGGCGGGGCAGGAAGAAGATAAGCTCTTGGGACTTGGAGCCTGTGTTCTGCCTGGTAGCCTTCCTGCATGTACAGGGCGGGCCTTTTGTAGTTTGGCGCTTGGGTAACCTTATGAAATCTACTTGGCCTTAGCCTGGCCCTCCCTGCTCGTCCAACCTCCCTAATCCTCCTCTGGGCTCCACCCCTCACTTTAAAAATATTTTTAAAAATTGATTTCAGAGAGGAAGGGAGAGGGAGAGGGCGAGATAGAAACATCAGTGATGAGAGAGAATCATTGATCAGCTGCCTTCTGCACACCCACAACCCAGGCAAGGGACCCCACCTATTGTTAAAATGCTGAGTGCTATGCATTCTATTCTAAAATGAAAACAAATCCTTAAAATGAGAATGACAACCATCCTATCTCCCAGATGGTTTGTGATATTTACATGAGATTGATAAATGTGAAAACTCAAAATATATGTAATTATCCTTAGAAATGTACTTTTTGGTACTTCTTACAACACCTAGTATCAGTGTGTTCTAGGTTAAGTTAGATTTTGAACTTTACTGAAAATTCATAGATGCTTTTCATTCTTCGGAAGGCTTGTGCTTTCCTTTTTTTGTAGTTCTTTATATAAGTTAATGACATTTGGATGAAGGCATGCAATCAGTTAATTCACGAGTGACATTTATGCTCAATCTTTACACTTTGTAACTGTGAGTTTGGGCAGGTTT